TTGGACACCTTAGGCCGAGGCAGGCAAAATATGGCCCATGGGCTACGTGCAGCTGACCAGGCAGTGTCATCTGGTCCACAGGTACCCACCAATTAATTGTACCCCACCCAGGCTGCATGCCTCATTCCCACCCTCCTGTATGGGAGGCCCTGGCCTCAGCCCTAGCTAGCATGCACAGCTTTGAGGTGAGGCCGCTGCTGCCACTGCTGCAGCCACCAGGGGACTTGCTCGGCTCCCCTGGCCTTCAGCAGCTCCTCCTACATCCCTGCTGCAGTGATCGCTCTGGGCAGCAGGTAGGAAAGTTGCAGCTGGCTAGGAACGTGGTGCTGGAAGTAGGGAGTGTGGGGACTACCCACATGTCCCCCCCCAGGGCACACAGCCCCCTCCACACACACACCCCCGTCATATACACACCCTCACCCCCCAACTACATCCCACAAAGTCCCCTATACACAATATGCAGGAGAGAGACTATTTTTGACCTATAATGCAATCACATCTATATAGACTATGCAAACAAACATAAATCAGGGAAAAAACAGTTTGAAATAAAATTACAGTACATTATAACAGACGTTTGACTTTTAGTATATGACGGGGAGGGGTTCCGGTTCCAAGTTTCCACCCCCCCAAGGAATACTTCTGGGGGCAAGGGGAGGAACTTCCATTGATAAAAGTCAGGGGTTAGGGGGCAGGACTTCCAGTCCCAAGGTGGCAGCCAGGGGGCAGGTCACCTGTCAAGGGGCAGGGCCACCATTGCAGCCCTTAACAGCTCACCAAAACTCAGTCCTCCAGCCAACATAATTTCCCATCCCTGCCTTTAATAGTTGGCAATTCTCCTACAGAGTCCAAGAAGTTGGCAGCCTTCAGTTGCAAACACCTGTAACAAGTCCTTTTGGCATCTGACTACATACACAATTCATAGCCAAACCACAAGGCTCTGCTAGATTTACTGTGTCTGAAGCCCCAAGTAAACTGTCTGGCTATTGTTTCTACAGAACATTCTTTAATCAGTTTCACCTCCTCTAAAAAGCATGGACAATGAGGCTCCAGGTACTGAATTCCACTCAGGGCACCCCCTTTTGGACTAGTTACTACTTCTCTGTAACAGCTGCAAAGCTCACCTGGCTGCAAGCTGAGTGGGTAAGCTGTGCTTAAGAGCTCTGCAAGAAAAGGATGGCAACTTTGCAGAGAATGCATAAACTTTACCAGACAGAAGATTATGCAGTGCACGGTGCATGGTTTTTATTGGAGTGTCTGAATTGTGACTAGAGCCCATATTGCAAACTGGGGGCTCCGACTGGCTGCTACTGAGCCATAAAAAAGCTGAGGGCAGGTAAAGAAGGGAAGGTGGGGAGAAGCCAACTCCTGCCCTGGAGAGAGGGGGTGCAGACTCAGCCCCCAACCAGGGGAGGCTGAGCTGAGACCTGCCCAGGAAGCAGGCATCAGGATAGGGGATAGTCTGTGTCATCCCATGAGATGTTGATTCCCCACCGGGTTTGGAGTGGTGCAACCAGGGACACAGGTGCTAGGTAAAGAGTAGGGAGGGGTTGGTAAGCATGCTGGGAGAAGCAGCAGAGCACTTAAAGGGTTAATGGCCAGGCTATGAGTTATGCCTGAGAGCTGGGAAGGCTCTAGCTGCAGTCTGAGACCTAAAGAGGGAAACCCCGGTCTGCAGGTGGATGCGAGGGGAGAGGGACACGATCCTGAGAGGGAGGGCAGAGAGAAAACAAACCAGCATGGATGTGTGAGGGGACACCTAATCATCAGTTTTTGCAGTAAGTGTATTTCCAGAAGGAAACTGCTTAAGACAGGGGTTTTTAACCTTTTTTAGTAAGTGTACCCCTGGTGGCCAGACACAGAGTGGCGGCAGCGCAGGGTGCTGGATGGTGGTGGCAAGGCAGAGGGGCGCTGCTGCCCTTGCCCTGCCCCTGGGAGGTGATGGCATGGGGTGGTAGGTGGCAGTGCTCCATCCCCACCTGGCCACACATACCCCCTAGGGCCTTCCCAAGTATCCCTGGGGGTACGCATCCCCCTGGTTGACAACCCCTTGCTTAAAAGATCAGTCTGCCAAAAAAGGAAACAGGGGGCCTATTGCCTGCAGCTGCTTTTCAGAGTCTGTTTCGCTGTGTTACCAAAAAAGAATAAAGGATTTATTATTATGGGAAGGGGATTGTGACCAGAAGGAAACCAATTGGGTTATGGGGGAAACTATTTTAAAGGGTTATAAGGAAGTGAATTTAGTTATTTAGGTAGTTTAATACAAGTGGGACAACCCAGTGTGCTGGAATTATTCACCATATGTTGTATTTGTAAATTTATTCTGAAGTGTTAGTTTTGTTATTAACTATTCTTATTATATTTCTGTCTGTTTTTTCATGTATATACATTAGTTGTGTATAATAAAGAATAATGTGTTCATCAGATTCAGAGCTAATTCCTGGGCAGTGAGGGTGAGGGACACACCTTTCCATGGGACCCCTCAGTCAGTAGTCTGCCTGAGGGGCTACCGAAGCTACTGGTACCCTCAGGACCCAAAATCCGGTGCATCACCTGGCCTTAGCATGCTGGCATGGGTTACATCTCTATAAAGTCAGTGTTGGTTCTGAAAATCAAAACGGCCATGCCTCCAAAATAATCCATCCTAGCTGCAGCCCAAAAGTCAAGCTTGACCAAGGCCAGGACAACACTACAAAGTTTTGCTGATAAAACTATGTTGAGTAGGAGGGTTAAAAAAAAAATTAAATCACAGCCCAGAGCTGAGGCAGCTCTGCTGGCAAAAAAACTTGGTGTAGATGCAGCAATGCTAACAGAAGAAGAATTTGTCAGCTAGGATTATATTATTTGGTGATTTGGTACAACTACACAGATACAAAAAACCTTCTGTCAACATATGCTGTGAACTTGTCTATACTGGCAAAGCATTTCTGCTAGCAAAGCAACTTTGGCCAGGACTGTGGAGACTGCATTCCATAGCTGATGTAGCTCTGTCAGCTCGATTTCTGCCCTCCTGTGCCCCCACCCCATGCAGCTGTGCCCACAGAAACCCTGCCCTTACAGCTTCTGTTGTTTGCAGGAACTCTGGTGGTACAAGCAACTCCTTCTGCTGGCAGAGTATGAGCTATACTAGGGCCCTGGTTGTACTGCTACAGTAGTGGTAGCAGATCCCATGATGTAGATGTAATTTGAGTCCCCCTAGGAGGTTTTGCTAGCACAGCTATCTCAAATCAAACTGCAGCAGCAGCTCTTCCAGTGTACATAAGCCCTCGGGAAACCAAGGCCTGATTTGTGGCATGCTGATTACCAGTACCTACAACTAGTTGTTTTTACAGCTAGCCTGTTGGAATGATTCCCCCTTAGCTGTGCAGCAAGTCCAACAACACTGAAACAGCAACATAGTGGGACAGTGAGCAAGTATTCACCACAAACCCTTTCAGGCCTCATTTTAATCTCACACCAGTCTTGAACAAGCTAAGTCCATTGGCTTCAGTGTAATTGTTCATGATTTGCATCAACATGAGATAAAATGGGGCCCATGGTCTCAAGCCTCTGTGTCATGGGTGTACATGCTGAGCAGACTCTCTGCTCTTAACCCCTTTCCCTCAGAGTGCATTCTTTGGAACTGTTTCATCATTTCCTATGATCTGATTATACCACTAACTTGGATATGCTACAGTGCATTACGTGTTGTGGTTGCAAAATCATATTCCTGGGAATAAGTAACAAAGTTCATTGCTCTACAGGACTAGCTAAATATCGCCACACACTAATTTCACAAAATCAGCTTTATTGCTTTCATTTCCAGACAGTGAAATGCATAAGCAGCCTCATATATTAGTGGAGTACTGACACTGAATGCACACAGGGGTAAGCCATAAACATGCTACTGTAACTTTCTTTTTGAGGGAGATATGCCAGGAATCCTGACTTCCCAAAGCAGAGTTGGCAGGAGTGAGCATCCTCTTGACACACAAAATACAGCAGCTGTCAGACCCAACCGTACCATAGCTCCCTTGCCAAAGACTTTCCCCAGTGCAAATATGGGATGTTTAGACAAGCCAGGAACCAAACCAAGAGGTTCTGAAAACTTGTAGAGAGGGACTCCATTAAGTAGAGTATGCTACAAAATAACTTCATTGAAAAGTGTTGTATTTCAGTTATACTGGGTCTCTTCCTCTTGAAATACTGAAAAGCATTAGCCTGAGGATTCTGTGAAGGGAAAGCAACTCATTTGTGTAACTTGTAAAAAAAATCTACCAGATGCATTCCACAAAATACACTCACGTTACTCAGATAAATATTGGAGTAACACCTGTCAATTGCATTCATGCTTTCTAATCCTGCTTAAAAAATAGGAAGGTATAATATGCAATGTTCCAAGTACTATCCTTTAAATCCTGAAACCTGTGTCTCCTTTTTGCAGACACTTGCTGTCCCTTGTATACAGGCAGTCCTCAGACTTACAACACAACTGGTTCCTGAAAACCGTGTCTTAAGTCGAAATGTTGCAAGTCAAAACCGATTTTCCCATAGGAAACAACGTTATAAATAGATTTCATAGACTTTAGGGCTGGAAGAGACCTCAGAAGATCATTGAGTCCAGCCCCCTGCCCCAGAGCAGGAAGTCAGCTGGGGGGCCCAAGGCAGGGCCTGCTGAGCAGAGCCAGCGGCAGCCCCACGGGGCTCTGAGCAAGCCCCACTCCCCTCCCTTGGTTCCTGAACCTAAGCCCAATACCCTATTTTCACCAAAAATAACCCAGAATTTTGTACTCGATCAATTATAGATGAGTAATATAGCTACATTAATGTATTTATATTGTAAATAGCAATCATATTGATTTGGAAGGACTTCTTTGAGGAGACTTTGCTGGACGTTTTGAAGGGCTCTTGGTTGGAGTCTTCCAAGGGGTCTTGTCTGCAGGTTTTCCTGGAGTCTTGTCTGCTTTCTTAAAGAAAGTATCCAAGGAAGTTTGGACAGATGTTCTCCAGGGAGATGGGTGATGCAGTGAACTTGTTCGCTGGCGTGGCCTGGCGTCCGATCAAGTGTTGTAAAGCTGAAACTGACATCAGAAAGTTGAAACAGGGTGTCAATTTATAAGTGTTGTAAGTCAAGGACTGTCTGTACTCAGATTGGTTTGCTACAGTGGGCTGGAAGGCTGCTGGCATTCATTTTCAGCATTAAAAAACAAAAACAAAACTGGATCAACCTGTGATCTAAAAGGTAGTGCAAAAAGAACTACGCCAGCTGAGTTCAGCTTGGCCTCTTGCTATTTGCTGGCAGAAACAATATGCTTAATATAGCAATTTGAAATTTTCCACACACTTTTTTTCATTTACCACCCCACCACCACTCACACACCTTTTCTTTTTCAAGAATAGAAATTTTCAGGCTAAAGAATTCATTTCCCCCCCAAGTTTCTATCCCCTTAACAAGCATTCACTTTTGCTGCTTTGCTTTTCTCTCCCCACCCCACATTTTCTCCCTTTTCTGTTGAAAATAATATATAAAAGGGAGTATGGAGGAGGAGGAGTGGCGGGGACACAAACCACTGAAGTTTACTTTTGTATTCTTCCAAGTGTTTACAAAAAGAAAAATAATGTGAAATGTGTTACTTGTAAAGTGAGATTTAGGTGAGTCTTCCAGACAGCTGTGAAGCTGGGGCCCAGGCTAGTGCCCTGGCTGCAGATGTACTTCTGAGTGAGGAGGAAGAATTTGGCTGGTCACAGAGGGGGAAGGTATCTACTCTTCTCAGCTGCAAAGGAGTCCTTTGAACACAAGGATGCTAAGAGCAATCCGGTCCTGTGGGGAAACCCCAGGAAAATTAAATATCCTGAAATGACTGCATGAGAAAAGTCATCTACTAATTGCAGAGCTAGAACAAATCTAAACTATTCCTAAAGAGATGTGATCCCCTACCCCAGCAGGCTATTTCCAAAACTAGATACCTCCTCCCAGCTCCCTGACATCACTCCTGCTTTCAGGAAGTCAGCTCCTCCTTGTTGCTGGAGGCTACAGCATACCACCCCCCCCAACCCCAGCTCCATTATTCTTTTGCATCTTCCCACCTTTTGCATATACCTTGTCACTACCTAATACAAATAAGCCCCGCCAACAAAACAAAACAGGGCCAATGACGGTGTCCTCCCCTTCTTGGCTGAGATCCCGTGCTAGATGAGAACCTGGAAACCTGCTGTTACTACAGGCAGTCTTCAACTTACAAAGTTTCGAGTTACATTTCACACTTGCAAGGTTTATAAATCGACACCTTATTTCAACTTTCTGACGTCAGTTTCAACTTTACAACACTTGATCCAAGGCGATGCCAAGACAACAAACAAGTTCGCTGTATCAGCCATCTCCCTGAAGAACATCTGTCCAAGCTTCCTTGGACACTTTCTTTAAGAAAGCAGACAAGACTCCAGAAAAACCTGCAGCCAAGACTCCTGAGAAGACTCCAGCCAAGAACCCTTCAAAACGTCCAACCAAGAGCCCTTCAAAAAGTCCAGCAAAGTCACCTCAAAGAAGTCCTTCCAAATCAATATGGTTGCTATTCACAATACAAATACATTGATTACTCATTACTACATTTCTCATCTGTAATTGATCAAGTACCAAGTTCTGGGTTATTTTGGGTGAAAATAGGGTATCGGGCCTTGGTTCAAGAACCAATCCCCCGTTTATAACATTGTTTCCTATGGGAAAATCAGTTCCGAGTTACAACGTTTCAACTTGAGATGCCGTTTTCAGGAACCAGTTGTGTCCCAAGTCCGAGGGCTGCCTGTACTGCCCATGTCCAGCTTCCTCCTCTTCTGCAAGAGGCCTGCGGGAGCAGCTCCCTTGAACCGGACGTTCCCTGCGGGCCTCCCAAGCCCTCTCCTCCCTGGCTAGGAAAGGGCCCTTCTGCCTGCAGTTACGGGCCCGGCTGCCCCCCACCCGGCATCCCAGGCTGGTGGCACTTTCTCTTACTGCTACTTTAGGGAAGGCTCCTCAGCACCAGCCCCTCTCAGTGGCAGGCCACCCTCACCTTCCCAGGCGTCCCTTTTGCCGGCACGGCTGCCTTCCCCAGGCAAGGGGCCCCCCACCCCGTCACTCGCGTGGCCCCACGTCTTCATAGACACCAGGGCTGGAAGGGACCTCGGAAGATCCTCGAGTCCAGACCCCTGCGCCAGGGGCAGGAAATCAGCTG